CAAGCGACGAAAACCCAACCCCGATGGCAAACACCGGGGGGGGAGGAAAGGGGGGTGGCAAAGAAAGGACGAGGAAGGGGGAGGAGACTACTTGTAATGTGAAAGGGACAAGGGTGACAGGGGGCACGGGGTACGTTATTCCAAGGTAGTGCAGGCCACTCCAGACAACCCGAGAGACAGCGTATTCAAGGATATTCTGGCACAATACCCCGGTTTAGATGGTAGGGTACTCGCAGACAAGGTGAAAGAAAAGGAAAAGAGAGCTGCATTTGATGAGGCAATGAGGCAGAAAGAAGGGGGGGTGTATTCCTCTAGTAGGGGAAGTGTGTCGCGTGCTTCTTCCTCTCAACCGGGCAAGGTATGGGGGAAAGGCAAGAGACACGGTCGGGCAGGGGCTGGTTTTGGGACTCTATCATCATCTAGTGCCTCTCCGAGAGGGGGCCGAGGGGGCTGGGGGCACAAGTCAGGAAGGGGATCCCCGAGGAGGAACGGTTCCAGGGTGGGGGCAGAGGCAGCCAAGGAGTTAGAGATATGCCAAGGGATTCGAGGGGTGGTGGTCGGGGAGGACAGGGTTCTAGTCAGAGTGGGGGCAGGGAGGAAAGGGCAACTGTCCACCACGGGCAGCACCAGCATGACTGGCAGGCACCACCACCCCAGCAGCAGCAGCCGCAGAAGCAGCAGCAATGGCAGCAGCCACTGCCGCAGATGCAGGCGTCACCGCCATACTGGCTACAGGGAAGGGGGGGGTATGACGGGGGTCCTCAAGGGGGCACAGTCTACTGTGACCAGCACGGCAACTTCCACACTGGAAGGTGGGTGGGAGATGAGCGGGGGGGTAACGTGTCTGTCAAGGAGGAAGTGAAGGAGGAGGAGGTCTTGAGGGAAGAAAAGACCACACCCGTTGATGACAAGCTCAAAACAGAGTTCCACGAAGAGTTGTCGCACAAAGAGAAAGAAATCGAAACTTTGAAGCAGAAGTTGGCCGAAATGGGAGGTCAATTCAGACAAGTGAGCCTCCAGGACACGGACGAAAAACCTGAAGCATGTGCATCGGCAATCGCATCTGAACCTAGGGTGGCTGCAAGGGAGGTAGCGCCTGTCAAACAAGTGCAAGAAGATGTTGTGTCTCACTCAGCGACGGTAGCGACGGTTGAGAAAGAACCGGAAAGCATCACGATCCAGCCGTTGACCTCGAGGGAGAAACAAAAGGTCATGACGGGTTACGTGACGATGAACATGAAGGATTGGACTAAGTTTCCTTGGATGCCACTTTCTGGTTCGCCGAGAGAAGAACTGGTTTCTTTCAACAGAAGGTTGGAAGATACGGTCAACGATGTGTTTTGGCGGTGGGGGATTACAGTGGATGGTGGGTCCCAGGATGGGAAAAACCCGTGCACAGACATCTGATCACTTCCATCTCCCGATCCATGTCCCCTGCCCAGACGATGACGTTCCGCGAGAAGATAGACAAGGTCTTTTCGGATACATCAAAGAAGATGGAAGAAGGGTCAACGGGTAGGAAGGCGCTGACATTCTTGACTTCGGCGTTGGGGAGGGTAGTGAGTTCATCCTCGCCCGAGAAATTGGTGTACGACTTACAGACCTTTGCGGTACCGACTGGAACGCCGTAAATAAGCACTTGACTACCTTGCAGGGGTTGGTGCACAATGTTCGGAACTTGGGAATGGTGACGCCGCAGGATAATACCATTCAACTGGCAGTCAGAGAGAGTGTGTCTGATCAATACAGTGTTCGAACCGCTTCCGTGTTTAAGGGCAAGGAGTCGGGAGTGGTGCCGGTCGATAACATAGACACCTTGATGCATGAATTGCGAAATTTCGAGGCTGTCGAAGGGGGGGCAACGACTCCAACGCGAAGGATGGCTCAGGTGAAGGGTTCCTTTGGGGGGAGGCAGGAACAGAGAGGGGATGGAGGAGTAAGGACAGGGTCAGGGGGAATACCTTTCGGTCCGCGTCTCCTGGCAGGTCCGATGGTGAATATGGGGGGAGGACGGTGATGACGGTGGAAGAAATGGATTACGAGGACGAATGTGAAGAGTTTCTGAGAGTCTATGACATTCACGCGTCGCCTCACACAAACAGCCAGGTGAATGATTGCCCTTTCTTCGCGTGGTTTGCGTCTGTCGAGGAAAAGGACAGGCATAAACGGGCGTTCGGGTCAAGGTGTTTGAACTGTGGTGGTGAGGGACACTTTGTGCGGGATTGTGACAAGGGTTACATTAACGCCTCAAATATGTTGAACCGAAATTTGACAAACGGGTCCAAGGCCGAAGTCAAGGCAAGATGGGATCGGTGGTTAAATAGTCTGAAACAATGGCACGCAAGTCGTATGGAGGAGAGGAGGAGGGAGAGAAATAACTGATGGTGCGACGGTCAGTTGGCCAGCTTGCCGGTAACACCTTGGCCGAGTTGCTTTGTGGGTGATCAGGCAGAGCGAGAAGAAAAAAGAGGAGGGATGGTGCAGGGTGAGAGGGGTGGAAAGTATTGCGAGATTAAACACAAACCTCGAGGAGTGATGGTGCAGGGTGAAGGAGGTCCCGGGTATTGTGATGACATAAAGAAATGTCGCGAGCAGAAGGGAAGAAAGCAGAGCCCAGGACGGGCATCAAAACAGAATCTCGGGGAGGCTGAAATAAAGAGAAAACAATCATCACGCGACGAAGACGACTCGGAGAGTGGGATTGTTGAGGAGGAGGGGGGCCGATCGGTGGTGCAAAGCACCGAGGGTGATGGCCTGGCGACGGGGAGCGTCTCGTCCAACCACGGTAAGCGACGTTTTTCAGCATAAAAGGAGTATTCCAAGCAGGGTGGAAGAAATTAGTCTATCCCAAACTGCAAATGGTTTCGAGTGCTGATAAATGGAGATGCACGGATGTAGGCCGTGGGAGCAAGAATGTATTGAGGACTAGCACCCCGCAAGAAATTCTTGGTCGTAGTGCGTCGCAAGATGTACGTGCACAGCTTCAGGAACCAATCACTAATACGACACACAGGGATTTTCCAGAAGTAGGGGTGCCGAACACGCTCCCTTCGTCAGATCAAACGAAGTTTAGCATTGGCAGAATGGGAAATGTTAATGACAATGCAACACCAGCGGGGAATGCGTTAAACACTCAAAGGGAAGAAACACGCACGGCAAATTCTCCGAGAGCAGCGAGGTGTCCGCTGTATCCTCAAGCGGAGCACACTGTTGGTCGAAATGGTTCCAAAAAGGGGTCGATCAATAGGGACACTAAGAGGGAAAAAAGCGTTACCGTTGATCGTGCTGGGGGCAAGCAGATTCATGAAACTGTTGCTTTGCCAGTGATAAGAGAAGAGGGCGTGATGGGGGATGCATCAGCCTCTGAAAATTATCTCAAGCGTGAGGATGAGGTAGCAGCGCGGGAGGGAGGAAATTTTGGTGAAGTACAGGAAGGAACAGATCGCATTTTTGCCGTGAAAGTATCTGTTACTTCTGTGTCAGGACAAAGGAATGATGCGGTGTACCCTCCGCCCCCTTTTACGTTTGCTGCAGGTGAAGCGGCGAACTACCTGTCACCATTTACTCCGTCGGTCGGTGGGGATTTGACGATGGACCGACATCGGCATACGACTCAAGCGCAAGTGTTCGCGGGGTCAAGGGCGACCAAGATGATGTCGTGGGAGGCTCTGTTGGATACGGGAAGTCTGGCATCGTTTGTACAAGAAAGGTGGCGTTCAGGCGGTTGTGGCAGAGGGTGCCTCCGCACATTCGAGACGTCCATTTCGACTTCAATGCGAAACTGTGGGAGCCGGAGGACATTGACAAACTAGGGACGGGGCAGAACACGTGCGCGACCTGGAAAGGTTTTTCGAGCGCATGGTCAAGTTCAACCTGAAACTGGCACCCAAGAAGACGAACCTGGGGGTGAAGGTGGTGACGTTCTTGGGACATAAGTCACGGCGGAAGGGATCGGGCTGGACCCGGAAAAGGGCGTGTCCAACCCTTTTGCCTGATGGTGCGTGTGTGCCTGATGACACCCGGTTGGTGGAACCGAATGGGGAAGTAGTCAGTGGTCAGTTTAAGCCAGGGCTGATATTACATGCTGTTCCTTTAACGGAAGTTGGCAGACGCTTGTTAGGATTGGTGGAAAAACCGCGAGTGTATGCTATTTCTCAAGGAGGGGGCAGTGCCTCTGGTGGTAGTAGTAGTAGTAGCAGTAACGCTCGTGGGAGGGGGGCTGTTGATGGTGGTGTAGGTGGCAGTAATGCTCGTAGTAGCAGCACTGTTGCGCGTGGAAGGGGTCGAGGTGGTGCGACTCGAGGGGGAGGGGTTCCGGGGGCAGAGGTCCAGCAGCACCCCCGTTGCCTAAAATTCCGTTGCAAGAGTATGGTGAAGAAAAGACGCAAGCGGTAATTGAATTTGGGGAGATTTTATGTGGTATGACGGCGGGTGATTGGGCGGACATTTAGGACGAAGACCGTACGGCGCGATCAGCAATTAAGGCCATTGAAGGGCATGCCGATCCAAAGAGGATGGAGAAGGGTGATATTCCGAACAATGTAGAAGTATGTTTGGATGAGTTGAAGCGGTTGGTGGCACAGGGTACTTTGTTGGTGTTGCCGAATTCGAAGCATTTGTTGGTGAGGAAAGAATCTAAATGCGGGAAATCCAATTCGAAATCCAGGTCAATTTGAGAGGTTGGTAGGTGAAGAGCCCGTTCGGACGTATGTGCCTAGGATGTTGAGACCATGGGTCATGGATTGCGCTCACAAAGAAGCAGTGCATTTGGGAGAGAAAGTGACTCTAGGTATTCTACAGAGGGTGTATTGGTAGATAGGAATGGCGGAAAGCGTACGTTGGTGGATCCGTAGGTGTTTTTCTTGTCAGTTTCGAAAGTGCCGCGGCATACAAAGTGTTGGCCGTTAGTGTCTTTGCCTCGTCCGAGCAGACCGGGACAGATGGTGTCGTTGACTATTTGGGTCCGTTGCCGAAAACGACGAAAGACATCGAGTATGTGTTCCTGGTGGTCGATTTATTCAGCAGACATGCTGAGGGGTACCCACAAACGAAGGCGCATAAGAATGCGAAGAGTTTTGTGTCCATCATGGTGAACGATGTTTTGCAAGGTGAGGTTGTCCGTACACCATGCTGTCGGATAGGGGAGCAGAGTTTGCGAATGAGGTAGCGAAAGGGGTGTATAAGATGCTGGGGACGGTGAAGAGGTTATCCTGTCGCTGACGCCATATGCGAAGGTGTACCGATTCAGGTAAAAGTCAATCGACGGATACCCTGCAAATCGGGTCCTCCTTACCACTCTCCACCCACAGAATTTACCCTCAACTGGGAACCGCTTGTGGCCAGGATGGGTGATTCTATGGGTCACAAGGTTCTTTGTAGGATCGACTCCAAGAGGTGATCTCAGGACTGACACACATTGTGTCCATGGGAAAATATCCAAGTCAGGAGAAAAAGTGTGCACCCAACGAGATTCGAACCAGTATCCTGCCGCTGACGCCATTTGCGAGGGTGTACCGATTCAGGTAAAAGTCAATCGACGGATACCCTGCGAATCGGGTCCTCCTTAACATTTTCTAGCTTTTATCATCCGCAGACGAATGGGGTGGTTGAACGGTTAAATCACACGTTGTGTCAAATGTTGTCGCACTTGGTTGCGGATGATCAGGCGAACTGGGATGAGATGTTGCCACACGCGGTAGCGGCACACAACATTAACGTGAGCCGAGGGACGGGGCTAGCACCAAACGTAGTACACATCGGAAGATACCCGAGGCTGCCGATGACGATCTTGGAGGGAAGGGGCGTTTCGGGAAATCAGGGCCTAAAGCACGACCAATTGGATTATTTGAATTTGATGAGGGATAAGCAGAAGAAAGCGTACGAGCTGGTAAGAGAGCAGGATAAGATAACCAAGGCTAAGCATGAGAAGAGCAATCAGGTGTTGCACTCGATAATAGGAAAGAGACCGAAGTATAAAGAGGGGGACTTGGTCTTGGTGTATGATGAGCAGAGTACGATTGCTGGTGGGGGGGAACACGTGCTAAAATCGCGAGTGAATAGTAGGGGGACAGAAAAATCGTTCGCGTTGATCCCGAAGTTGGCACACAATTGGACTGGCCCGTATAAGGTTTTGATCGTGCGTCCAGGGAATGGTCTTGACGGAGAAAAGGTAGGCCCGAATATTTTATTGGGCGTGAATAAGGATGAGCCAGGAAGGAACATTAACGAGAGGGTGTCGGTATATCGGTGTAAGAAGTGCTATACTCAGCACGAGAACGAGGATAGACCTAGGTTTTTGCCGTGGGGCTTTAGCAAGTTTATGTGTTGAATAAGTCTTCAGAGCTGGCGCCTCCGTTCCATCTTACGGCAGAGGACGTGGAGGAAAAATTGGATGGTAAGGAATTGGTCCCGTGTAAAATATCAAGGCACAGAATTTGTCGAGGTATTAGTGTGGAGGGGGCGGTTCAGTACTACACGCATTGGACGGGGTTGGCTAAGTGTACGTGGGAGCATGAAGTAGAGTTGGAGCAATGTGGGGACGTGGTACATTGGAATGAGCAGCCGGAACAATCGGCCGGAGGGAACATAAGGTATCGGAGGTACCGTATTCAGGGTGCAACAAGGATGGATGCTGGCAGGAAGGGAGAAGGACACGTGCAGAAAGACTACAAACTTTGTTGTGACATACGGGGTAAGCCGAGTCTTTGAAGTAAGGCGATGATTGGTGCCTGTTGATATTTATTTAAGACTGCAAGGGCGGGTCGGCAGTTTGCGAAGGTAATGCAGGTGACTCCGGATTCGAGGTGGGAAGAAGGCATTAAGCATAGTCTACTATCAAGCTGGTGCAGTCGAATACGGGTCAAAATTTATGTGGTGTTTTTGAAGTGCGTAGGACTGCGGAAAAGTGTGCCAAGTGGTGCAGTCGAATACGGGTCAAAATTTATGTGGTGTTTTTGAAGTGCGTAGGACTGCGGAAAAGTGTGCCAAGTGGTGCAGTCGAATACGGGTCAAAAAGTTAAGGTTGTGCTGAGTAATTCCTGTTTTGGCTGAAGAATGTACCTTGTGATGAAGTCATATTGCGTTGGTACCACGGTCTTGACGGAATTGGAGGTGTGTGTATTGCATGAGTTGATTTCTGGTGATAAATGTTCGGACTTGCTGCAAGAGAATGACATTGGTTGTAGGTCAGGTATTACACGTTGTGGTCAAGGGTTAATTCAAACGAGACTGATCGCAGATAAGTATGCGTTGAACCTGGGGGGGGCGAATGTCGTGCAAGAAGTCAACCCTAGGTCAGGTCAGGGTAAGAAGACATGGGGTAGGGTAATCGCAGGATAATGTTGAGGCGTGATGGAATGGACTTGGAAGTGATGGCTTTGGGAGCAGGGTTGGAGTTAGTTCTGGTTGAGATATCGTCAAATAAGGTCATGACAAGTGTATGAGCTGGAGACTAGAAATGAGGAGGTGTGGGTGTATGTTTGGAATGATGAGCTTAGGAGGGAATTGCAGTTATTTGGAGAGAAAGTGAGAGAGAGTTGGAGAGAGACGTCGCCAGCGCCGCGTCCCCGTGGGCGGTGGCCGCCCTCCCTGGTGTCGGCGATTCCTCAACCCCTACATCCCGCGCCCGACGCGGCCTCCGCGCTGCCGCCGCCGTGGTGGACCGTGTCGATGGACGCGACGACCTGGTGACCACCCCTACATCCACCAGGAGGCCCGTGACGTCCCCCTCGGTTGCTGTGGCGCCGATCGGATGCCCATGGAGTATTAGCCCCGGCTGATACTGTCCACTAAACGGTTGCAGACCGACGGAAGACACCGGACTATGGGGGCAGTGGGGAGGGCGAGAGGGCGATGGGTTAATGGCTAGAACCGATGGACTCGGACGGTGAAGAGATATCCTAGTCAACTCCGACTGAACGCCAGCCCACTCACGAGCCTCAACCTCCTCCGTGGTACACAACGTTACTGGTCTCATATAATGGTTCTCGGTCGGGCCACCAATGAGTGCATCTGAGTCGGAGCCTAGCTTCCGCGTCGCTCTTCTGCTAGACCCAATAAAGTAAACTTCGAGGTCTCCGTCCTCTATCAACTCGCATTTGTCAAAATCGCCTGCCGTGGGCGGCTGTGGCAGACGGGACAAAGCATCCGGTTATCTTTGCCCTTGCGATAGGACAGGGTGAACGAGTACGCCGATAAGAAATCACCCATGCGTTGAACACGTGGTTTTTTTTCACCCATAGAAAAAAAAGATAGAAGCGGCTTGTGGTCGGTGAATGCTTCAAATGGAATGCCATATAAACAATCACGCAATTTCCTAATGGCCCACACCAACGCTCCACACTCCAGCGAGCTGACATCCCAGTTCGCTTCGTTCGGTAGGGTCGATCTACTAACGTACACTAGAGGACTGACGGTCCCATCCTCTTGCGGTTGTTCCAGTACCGCACCAAAACCAGAGATACTGGCATCGGTCGTGAGTCGAAATTTACGAGTGCCATCGATGGCGGCGGCATAGTCGGGGAAAGCCAACACCTCGTAACTTGCTAGCTGGGCCAACACCGCTTTGGTCAGCTGTTCATGGTGTGCCGTAAACTTGAAGTGTGCGTCCTTCTCGAGAAGGGCGGTCAGGTCCGTGATATTCCTCGCTAAATTGGGGAGAAATTTTCGGAGGTACGATACCGAACCTAACATGGACCTTAATTCACTCTTAGTCTTGGGCATTTTCATCTTAGCCATTGCGTCTGTCTTTTTAGGATCGGGGCGCACGCTAAAAGGGGTTATCAAATGCCCCAGAAACGTAACCTCGGCCGAGCCGATGTGGGCCTTCTTGGGGGACAGCTTTAGGTCAAACTCCGTGAACCGCACCAACAACTCCCTCAACTGCACCACGTGCTCAGCGGCCGTGAGGGACGGCACAATCACGTCGTCTAGCTACACTTGAATCCTTCTCAGTCCATCACACACCTTAGCCATCAGCGACTGGAAGTTCGCCGGGCTCCCGGAGTATCCTTGTGGAGTCCGGGTCCATTCGGACAACCCGAATGAAGTGCAGACGGCCGTCAGGGGGATGCTCGACTCGTCGATGGCAGCCTGAAAGTACCCGCTCATCAGGTCGAGGACCGAGAAGACCTTGCTCCCTCCCAGCGCCGAGATGAGATCGCTGACTAAGGGCATGGGGAAAACGGGAACGATTGTCGCCTCATTTGACCGTGTAAAGTTGCATGTCAACCTCAAGCTACCATCCTCCTTCAACACAGCTACAAGCGGCGACGCCCAATTTGAGGTGAACTTCCGCAAAATCCCACAGCTAACTAACCGATCAATCTCTATCTTAATCTTTCGGTTTATTACTGGACTCCGCCGATACGGGCGCTGCTTTACCGGTCTCGTACCTGGCTTCAGGTCAATGCGAAACGGCAGGGTGGTGCAGTGCCCTAGATCAGTCTTATGCGCCGAAAACCAATCTGCATGCTCCACTAATACATCCGCTAAGCTATCAATGTCCTTGGCCGTCCAAGCGTCATGCCCCAACCCAAAATTCACTTCACATACATGCGCCGGCACCCGTGCCCATAGCCTGCAGAATGCCTCCTGGCACTCTGGCTTCATGTCGGCAAGTAACTCCGCAAGTAACTCCGTGGGAGGGGAGTTGGGGCTGGGGAAGGGGGGTGGGGTTGGGTTAGTGGAGGGGTCGGCAGTTGCTTCTTCCTCCTCTATTGTGCACAACGATACGGTGGGCTCTGG